TTTCCTGTCTGACTGCTCCCGAAGCGGCACATTTGGAACTGTCTGGGCAAAAACCGGCATGTTCCACCTTAAATTACTGATGAACTTTCTCTCCTTGTCAATTACAGATCAAATTGACTGACACACCCTGGGAGGAATTCATAGGATCGGATAGCCCTGCGTTGAAGCCAAGCGGATCTCCAGTCTTACTCCATCAAGCATATCCTTCCGGCTTGTGTGCTCGGCGCATCGACATGTTTTTACGTCGACATATGGTTTTATAGATTCTTTGGCTTTAATTTGTTATCATTATTATAGCTGCATCGATCCAATCGAACCTCACTGTTGATGATAATAGATTAGATTCAAACTATTTGTAGATTATTTTATATTAGACAGTCGATTTGTTCACATGTTATACTCTTTTCATCAAACTTATCGGCTCGACGCTTTATATCGATTATGTCCCATTTAGCCGATGATGCTTTCTGATGTCCCATGAGTATCGGTTATTTTGATTCATATCATTATTATTTAATATTAACCAATAATTCTTGATTTAAAGATCTTCATTTCATGGATACGTCGGATATCGACTATTTAGTCGATAGCCTTATTGAATCGGCTATCTAGCCGTACATTTAGAACTGTCTAGTGCAACATCGACATGTTCTACTTTAAATTACTAATAATATTTTCTCTTCTTTTCAATTGTAGGTCAAATTGACGTTTTTCTCGCAAGCCCGGCTGCCCACGCCGCCGCCTTAGCCTTCCGTGTAGGCTCCGCACCACATATCGGCCACCGACGATGCTATCCGCGCGCAGCTGCCCAGGCCACTGTCGCAACTCACCACGGCGCGCCTGCTCTGGGTTGCACTGCTTGTCGCTTTCATCTTTTTCGTTTCATCAGTTGAAATTAACAGGCAAGACGTACACAACTAAGACGGCGTATATATATGGCAATTGCCCCTCGACGTCTCCCCGGATATTCATGGACGTCGCATTTGGAACACGTCCCGAACAAGGTTAAGATCTTTGCTTGGCTATATTCTAAAGACAGATTGAGTACGCGCTCCAAACTCTTCGCCAAGCACATCCTAGAAGATGACATCTGCCGCCGTTGCTCCCACCATGTTGATAGTACTTTATGCAAATCTGAAATGTAAAATGTTCGTAATCCATATGGTCATTTGAGGGCCAACTATCATCAATATAGCTCCAGGTGGGGGATTCTCTCCCCTCCCATCGATTTATCAAAAACAAAACCTTACTGTGGCGGATTTGGGACGTCAGGAACTGTGAAATTTTCAGAAGTGAGCCTTCCTCCAGTAGGCGTGTGTTAACTTTGGTCTGTAATGATCTTGTAATATGGCAAAAACATCTAAGAACAGACATAGATGTCTCCCATCTTATTAGACAGTGGCGCCTCTTCCTCCTTTCATGTAACTCCTTCTCGGACTCCCACGCTTTGACTGGAGTATCTTTCGGAATAACGTTTAGGTGAGGAAGCTCTCCCCCGTTTGTTTTTTTTTTTTTAAAGTCACGCCCGTGCTAATGACATGAGAATTATTGCATATACGTGCACGTACTCGACCTATATTACTAGCTAGCCTTTGTAGGGCCTCGAAGATGAGACGGTGACACAGGGCACGGATGGACTTGGAATTGAACTGTACCATGTTAGCCTGTCAATGTGTACTGTCCGCGCGCCTCTCACAGTGCCCAAGGTTTCTTACTCCCTCGGACAATGAGGTAGATTATGCAAACTCTCGTGACTCGGTATTTTTATTGAGGTACAGAGAGGCTCGCATTCTTCATGGAGCCCACTGGCCTTCCTCACGCACAATTGGATCTCCGTAGGGTCTTCATTTGGACCGCTCTCTGCCATCTTCACTATCGTGTTTTCGGCCAAAACGCCGTGGATCACACGTTCCCTTAGGTACAAGATAGGGCCTACACCATAAACATAGTTGGTGTGATCTCATAAGCAAAGTTTTCTCTACCGGTATTTTAAAAATCTCGGTGGTCATGGATAAACAGAAATATCGGAAATTTATCGGCGATAGAAATAAAATTTCGGAAAAAAATTAGACAAAAATAACTCATTTTGTTCAGAAAAGCACATAGATCATTTCTAAACCACTTAACATAAAAAAACTAAATAAAACATATTATCAATTGCTTATTCAACGAGAAGGGCAACTTGAACTTAGAAGAGAAGATGAGAGAAAAATGAAACATGGATTAAGGTTAGAGTATTGGGTGGGCTTTGCGTCTATTTGGACGACAAAATTTTAAAAATATGAAAATCTCGGACAATAGAGGAAAAATTTCAGGCCCAGCCAGTAAACGGGATATCTCGGAAATTTCGAACTCTATCGGCCGATATATTTTTCCCTGCTCATAAGACTAGAAGCCCCTAGCTAGTATACAACAATGGTAAGCCTAAAGCAAAGTGCGAGTAACTAACATAAACACTTCATAAAAGCACTACGCTAATCACCGAATATTTCCTTCGGCACTTGTGATGGCTAGAGCACTTGAAATGGAACCTCACTTTCCCCTTCGTAACCGACGATCTTCCTGCCTGAGCCATGTCGTCTTTGTTCCCTGCGCGCCACGCCATGGCAGGGGTGGATGTGGATCTCACCCAAGCCTGGAAGTGCGAGGCAAGCTAGCCTTTCTATTTCTTGCTTACTGGTTGTTGCTCCATTCGCTTCCTCCTCCAAACTCGCTCCACCTCTTCTAAATATTCACGTGTCTTTGCGTATATATTTGTTCCTATTGATTAGCTTACATAGTTCATCATCTCTCATTGCAAAATCACCTCTGAGGCTTTTAAATTCTTCACCAAAGCCTTTATGCCGAATTGGTACGAACTTTTCCAACAGTAATTTCATCCTTTTATTTTGCATTATATAAACTAATGCGTATCCAGGTATAAACCATCGAGAAGAAACGTATATAGAAAATCATTGATGGAGTTGTTTATGGAACCATCGACATCCGACATCTCCTCGCCATCGTGAGGAGCAAACCTCCCGAACACGACCTTTTTTCCCCAACTAATATATTTCAGCCCAAACCAGGTGTAATATTAGTGGACTGACCGACCCATCCAAGAAGCAACTTTCAGCCCATGTCGAAAAGTCGTTTGGGCCTCTAACAAATGCTTTGAAACAGAAATGTTGAGAGAGAGAGAAAATCATTTTACCCTCTTAAACTATAGTTGCAGTCTAATTTTTCTCCTCAAATTCTAAAACTAACAACTTACTCCCTGAACTCTTAAAATCATTAAATTTATCTCCCTGGCCGGGTTTGAAGTGGTTTTGAACACGGTTTTATCTTTTTTTAATTATACATTTTCAATAAATATTTGATAAGGTTTTTAAACCACAAAAATAATGTCTCTAAGTTTCTAAAAACTAGAAGCATGCCCCGCGCGATGCCGCGGGATTTTCTTAAAAATAAATCGGTTATACAATATGATATTCTGTATACTGTGTATATAAATGAATTTGACTTGTATGTTATTTTATTGTATCGGATATGGTAAAAATCAGTAAGCAAATAGAAGAAAAACCAAGAGAATATTTGATCACATTATAGAAGAATAGGTGATGAAACAAATAGCGTATGTAAATGAATTTACGCTAATAGATTAGAGATTAAAAGTATTGCACATAATAGAGATGATGTTGACATTTTTTGTAATTAATAATGGATGACATGGATAGGCTGCATGAAAAGATTGCAATAGTGGGACACTTAGTGGGAAATGACGTGGAGACCTTGCATGAAGATAGAAAACATCTAGTGGGGTTTAGCTTTATAAGAGTATATAGATTCTGAGAAAAATCATAGAGGAAATCTAAATAAAATATTTATAGCTTGTGAAAATATCTTTAGAAGCAGAAAAAAAAGATTTATCTCTGGAAAAAAAAGAGAAAAATATAAAAAAATCTAGGAATTTCTCAAAACATTCTAATCAATGTCTAACATGTTTTTAAAGTTTTTCATAACAAAAATAGGATACAGCAACCAACATGAATGCAACATACATGAATGTTCAATGCATTCATGCCATGCATTTCGTGCTTGTCGCGTCTTAGAACCACTTTAGGATTCATTGTATTCTGGAACAGAGGAGTTGAGCACTAAGCAGTAGTACTCGTCTCATCTGATCAGCCTCCGATCTATTGTTACACTCCTCTGTCGTTTTCATTCCTTGCCTGGTTTCTAGAACACTGAACACCTGTCCAGTGCAAGGAACGGAATGGAATGAATGAATCAGGTGATTCAGTCATGGCTGTAGAGGAAAATAGAGAGCCAACAGTTGTCTATTGATCTCTGATGAACGTTATATAGGTTACAACAAGGTTGCTGAATTAGCAACTGCATCTATGGCCATGTTTAGTTCCTACCGATTCCAAATTTTGGCACTATGCAAAAAGAAGATTCCCCGTCACATCAAACTTACGGTACATACATGGAGTACTAAATGTTGACAAAATCAAAAACTAATTGCACAGTTTGGTTGTACTTTACGAGACGAACGTTTTGAGCCTAATTAGTCGACGATTGGACAATTATTACCAAACAAAAACAAAACGACACTATATACGATTGGACAATTAGCTACAGTGATTCGGCCGGCGCCAATTCGGCCGAACTAAACGCGGCCTATGCTAGTGTACATGGTGTGCGTGGTGACCGCCTGGTCACCGTGGTCGCGTTCCAGTCAGAGCGGGAACGGTTAGAGCTAGAAGACCTGGCGCCTATCCTTATCAATGGCAAAAGGCAAACCCTGCAGATAAGTATGAGCGACTAGTGAGAGGAGAGACTAAATTTCCCCGCTCACCGTGACAGAAAAGTCATCAGCGTTCCTGTATATAAACCGCGCTCTGGTTTGTTCTGCTCATCGGTCAGATTCAGATCAGAGGCACACAACTCAGAGAGCAGCAGTTGTATCACCACCAGCGTTCGTGAACTCCCCTCCCCTGTGGGATCAAGATCAATCCATGGCGTTTTACAAGTACGGCCTGGCGTTCTTGGCCGGCACAGGCTTGGGCGCGGCGATGACGACGACCCTCCGCAACAGCCGCTGCCCCCTCCACAAGCACGACTCCTGCTCCTGTCACCGCCGCCACCGCCCCGTCGGCGGCGCAGGCGAGTCACCGGAGACCGGCCGGGGGATCAGGGAGGAGTACTACGGCGCCCAGGAGAAGGGGAAGAGATGCCCCAAGCAGGGCGGCAAGGAGAAGAAGGGAGACAAATCCGAGGAGTCGTCGGACTGATCGATTCTAGCTAGCTTCATGGATGGATCCGACGTGTGTCGCGTTGTTACTTTGTAATAATAACAGAGCACTGCATTTCTATATGTATGGTATCGTATTGTTGAGAATAATATCATTGTCTTGTGTTTATGCCTTTTGCTGTGCACAAGACTGACGTACTCTGAATGAAGTCTGAATCACCAAATGTAAATTTAAAGCCTGCAATGAGTGATCCACTGAATATAATCCAGCATTCAGATACTCATCGTTTACAGACAGCCGAATAATAGAGTTGAGTGTGAGTGTGTGTGTCTGCAGTCAGCACAGACGGCCGTTTTTTTTTTTTTTTGAATGAAACTGGAGGGGTTTGCACCCCTATAGGCAAATTTATTAGATTCAAAAATAGGGTCCAGGAAGTACAACTGAGAATTAAGGGACATCAAAAGACAGGAAAAAAATAAGAGAAACTAAAAGGATTAAACAAGATTGTTTAACCATTGTTCTATACTAGGGAAGTAGCTTCTCTTTGCGCGGTACCATACCACTGGTGAGCCAAGTGCTGATTATTCAGTTCCATCTGCCCCTGATGATCCATGCGTGCAGTTGTAACTTGTAAGGTGTGTCCATGTAGATGGTAGAAGCGCCGGAGCAGGACCGCTAGCTGCAGCAAGCAAGCAGGTGAAGACGAACACTAATTAATCCAGTACTACTAAGACTATTCCAGTACTGTATGCATGATTAGCTGTTAAGTACCTAATGCAGGAGTGATCTGTTCCGATCGATCCCGGATATACGCTATGTTCGGTTGGCTAGGAAAACGGCTGATGTTGATGCTGATGCTGATTTGTTGTGAGAGAAAAACACACCACGACGACAGCAACTCCATCTATCTGCCGTGGGTTCGCTGGAAAAAAAAAACGAAACCACGTGCTGCTTTGCTGCCTTGGTGGGCAGGGCAGTGCATCCTGCGCCTGCAACTCACCGTTGACCCATGCAGAAAAAGTCGATCACGACCTCCTCCTCCTGATCTGTCTGCGTGCCTACACATCATGGAACCTGCTGAACGCTAGTAGTACTATGTGATACTCGCTCTATCTCAAAAAAAAAAAGATACGGTTTTCACCTCTCTAGAAGTTAAATATTTTAAATTTAACTAAATGTTTTAAAAATTACTTACGTTTATGATATCCAATATATAATTAGATTAACCATTGAATATATTTTCATAGTATAACAATATATCTGAAGTCATACTAATATTTTTCCTATAAATTTAGTCAAATTAAAGAAATTTGTCTCAGCACAAACTTAGAATTGCATCGCTTTATGACCAAGGTAGTATCCCTTTAATTGCTGACCAAGATGTAGTAGCTGTACTCCCTCGCCTTGTTTCTTGCACCCTTGTCCAAGAAACAAAGTCAAAACAAAAGCTAAGGAGAGCTGATGCTTCAGGTCAAGCACGCAAGCCAGTCTACCTAGCTGGCCTGGCCTGCAAGTATATATACGAATGGCCGTAGGCTGCTACAAGCAAACTGCCATCTAACTCAGTCATCAGTCATCACTCACCATCGATAGCCCAGCTAGCCAGCTCTTTAATTTGCTTGCTTGCGCCGTGCTGAGTGATCCAGCAACATTTTTTTTAAAAAAAGGCTCAACAAGCCATGGGCTGCTTGCTCCGCCGGCTGTTCCCCTTCTTGGTGGGCACGGCCGTCGGGGTGTACGCGGCGCAGAACTACAAGGTGCCCAACATCCGCCACCTCGCCGACCGCGGCGTCGACGCCGCCAGGCGCTACGAGGAGGCCTACCGCAAGAAGCCTGCCTCGGACGCCGCCCGTGAAGGGAGCAGCACCGGCGCCGGCGGCAGAAAGAAGAAGGTGGTGCAGGTGGACATTGACGACGATGAAGAGTAGCCACAGTTGCGATCGATCGATCGGTATGCGTGCGTGCATGCCTGACGGTGCATGTTGTTAATTAGTTGCAGTGTTGTACTTGTAGAGTTGTAGTGTCTGTATGCTAGCGGCCTAAAGCTGCATACAGTGTACGTGGGGATACCGGGATAGTTATTTGTTGCTTTTTAGGTTTCCTCGATTTACCGTGTACTACAATATGGCTATGGCTTTGATGTGAATTATTGAATAAATCAAGATTGTCAAATTAAACTCAGAGTTACCCTCATTCCAAATTATAAGTTGTTTTCTAGATAAATAGTTTTTACTATGTATGTACATACAGACATGGTCTATATATCTAGGTGCATGGAGGGAGTAACAAAAAAAATATTTAACATGCACACAGATATAGGAAAAGAGGAATTGTTGGCTTCGTTCAAAAAAAGAGGAATTGTTGGCACAAAAATTTACTCATACCAACATGCGCGGTGAGGGAGCAATTCAGTCGGCCTGGACCTGGATCAAGTATGTCCGTTACGGCCCATTTCCATCATGCATGTGCCGGGATGTGTGGGTAGAACCTGAAAACAGCGCGCACCACTATACATCCAAGTGGTACTGAAGCAGCTTATTCCACTCAAACAAATACAAAAAAAAAATGAAGCAGCTTATGGTACACGTCCCCCTGTCTTGCACGGTTGTTGTTCCTCAAGCAAGTCTCCGGCTTCCCCTGTTAATCTTTGTCGTAAGTAGCAAATGGAAAAAAAAAAGGTTACAAGAATGGAAAAGGAACCTGAATATCCTCTCAAGGTGTTTGGAGTACACGTTACAAGAATGTCCTGGAGAATTCGCATGACAAACCATCGAATTGCAAATATTAGAGCATCAACGAGAGACTCTCTAAATCCTTTCTAAATGCTAGGAATAGAGATTTTGGTGAAAAACTAACCTCCAACAACTTCTCTAAATAGTTATCTAAATATAGAAATCTTCTACTCTGGATTTTTTGCTAGTCAAAAATAGAAGATGAGAATGGCTCTCTAGAGTGCGAATGAGATATAGAAAAAACTATGGAGAGTAAAAAGATATAGAAAACGATTTTTATGCAAATGACTCTCCAAATGATAATTTAGAGAGTGAGATTTAGAAAGGCTCTTAGAGATGTTCTTATTACGGGGGAGTTTTGCTTAGAGTGAGTGACTTAGAAGGCACGTTTAGGCCAATCTAATTTAGGGATAGATTATTTGCTTAATTAGGTTTTGGTTTTTCCCTCTCCATGCCTGGTGGTGTGGAAGTTAGACATGAAAGTAGATTAAATATTTTGATTTCCTGGGGTAAATTGAGTACGGGATCGGAACAAGATTCTCCGATTAATTACTTAGCCCCCAATGTGATGATTATTAGGGTCTACTAGTTAGTTTTTGGATGGAGATTGGTTTTGGATCTAGATCTAGTCATCTACCTAGAAATATGCATGGAGAGACAGAAAGAGTTTAAAATAATTATTTTTATGATTTGAATTGTATATTAATTGAAGGGCGGGCCTGGTGCAAGCGGTAGAGTCTTACCGTATGTGACCAGAAGGTCCTGGGTTCGAGTCGCGGTCTCCTCGCATTGCACAGGCGAGGGTAAGGCTTGCACTGGGTACTTTTTTGAATTGTATATTAATTGTTGGTATTTACTTCCGTGCAAGTTGTTCGCTTTAATTATAAAATCTTAATATTTTGTTACTTACATTGATGAATTGATTTGTGAATACATGCTACCTAGGTAGAGTGAGGTTAGAGTTTATTATTTATTTGGACAAGGTTCAAGTTTCATTGAACGATTTTATTTAGACTTTACATTGAGTAAGGAATGAACATAGATTCTCTCATTATTTACCTACAAGTTCATGATATTAATTGATGGCCTACAAGTTTCTCCTTGTATGCGAATTCACTTCATGATTGAATAAAAATTGTTGCCATGATCGTATTTTCTCACAAATTGTTTTTCTTAATTGTGGAATTATATATGTTCTCTACCATATTTATAGGGGTTTGAAATTAATATTAAATCTTTCAGTTAATTTTCAATTTTATCCAATATGCTTAAAGATGGATAGGGTATCATGGATGTATGGTACATTAAGATGGAAGCTAATTTTCCATGTTGAAATGGATAAATTCATTAAAGTTGCCGAGAAAAAGCATGCAATGATTCGTAGTTTAACCGAAATTCAATGTCTATGTAGTGACTATAAGAACATGCTTAGTAAGATCACACTTGGTAATCTGAGGTTTCATGAAGGACTACATAACTTGGATTCATCATGAGAAGAAGGCGCATTATTTGAATCTGAAAAAGAAAATAAGTTTATTACAAGTCCCACAATGGATCTTGATTCTTGAACTGATATTTATTTTCTTGTGGTTGTTTTCTGCCTTATCCTCTTGATGTTCTAATGATTGTTCCTGTATTTCAAGCTGCTCCAGATGAACCATATGCGAGCTCATATGCACATCATTCCTATATAATAAGGCACATACATTAGCCATTTGTGAGCCCTCTTGTTGAGATAGAACTTTGACATACAATTAATTCATTTTAATCGAAGCATTTGGTACCTCATATGTTGGTGTAAACCACTATTAGAATACTAGCCACCAGCTAAGCTCATTTGTTGATGTAAGCTAGATGAGGAACTAAGGTTAGCAAGTTTTAGATTCTGGATTCTAGATCTCAATGCTTCATTTAGTTCTGCATAAAAACAAAGAAAATCAACTTCAATTGAGTATTTGATATGTTAATAAAGGAACAAAACTTCCTTTTGAACAAGCAGGAAACAAGGGCATATTTTTGAACAATAGAAATAATGGCATATCAAGATGACATATATAATGATCATATGAGCTTACAGAGCATAGAATCATACATTTACCACACATATTATAATTAACAATTAATTAAACTGGAACATGGATCATACATTAACTGCACTTTTTGATTATCAAACAAGACAAAAGTGGAGCACACATTCTTTTCTGATATCAAACATTTGGCAGGTGCACACATCCAGTTAGGCAAGTGCTCTCATAATCCTAATGTTGTTTTTGTCATAAAACTACATAAAAGGTGGTAAGACGAGCT